AGTCCAAGGGTATTTATTCCATTGATGTTAATAGAGATTGGCATCACTTGGGGGTGTTTTTTAGGGCATATGTTAACAATTTTAGACTTATATTATTAGTAACATCAATAGTTTTTGTATTTGCTCGTTTTGTAGCCCGGGTCCATATTTTTTAAACGAAACTCACTAACCGGGCCCTTATTCAAACCGGCCCTCATTCAAGCACGGGTGCTTGTTAATTAATATATTGTCATTTCCAGTTCTCAAGTATGATTTAAACGAGAATAACGAAAATTTTGACTTTTTCTATGCACCGCAGGTACAAATCCGCAAAAGAAGAAGTTTTGCGACGCCTATCAATATTAAAACGACGCAATTGGACGTCGCGACGCCCAGTTCGAGAACCACTGTGTTACGTAATCATGCCACTGTGTTACGTAATCATCATGCTATCTGTTATGTAATTGGACGCCTAAGCTTATCGCGACATAACCATGTATCAACACGGCACCAACCATGTTTTATGATTGACGAAGTTTGGCTCCCCACCCCAAGTTATGGAAAGTGTCCGCTCCATAACTAACGCTTTTATTATGAAAATAAAATGAAATTTGAGATTGCACAATTTACAATACATATAAAAATCGTTATGGCCTAAAAAATGATGTACTGAACAAAATAGATAATTATGATAATTTTATAAAATGAAAACACGATGGAAAAATGTCCGACTTATATTATTTTTTGATGATAGCCTTCGTCCAGAATTTCTGGAGTATCCATCATTTTATTCTGTCTTTTCTATTCAAAGTTCATAGATATGCATAACCATATTTGTTTTACGAGGCTTTTTCTTGAATAAATAAATCCTTATCCCTGTTTGTTAGATTTTCAGCAATAAGCCCCTTTGCGATGTTTCTAATATTTGCGGTTTTCAAGAATCTTGTTGCGCACTCTATGATTTGTGGACGATCTTGAAGGGTGATTTTAGGGATTGGGTATTGGGAATCTGGAGCTATAGGAAAAGTCAATTGGTTGTATGTTGACTTTCGCTAGTTTAGTATTTCATAATATGTATGGCTTCAACTTCGGACAGTCATTTCCCTCACTTCCAAACCACAATGTACAGAGAGAAAAGGGTTTCCAATGTGAATGATGTAATCACATCAGTGTGTATAGATCAAACTTCTATCATACAGGCGTGAAGTAATTATTACCAAGAAGCAGGGATGGCCATTTCCGAATACTAAACTATTCCGAATACATTCTAAAATAATGTTTTCGAATCTGGAATTCCGAATACATTCTAAAATCGAAAATCACACATTTTTTTTTAGTTTATTGAATCCCAGTAAAATAGGAAATAAGCTTCAATAGAAATATCAGAATAAAGCCACAAACCAACAGTATATGTACACAAAGTAATTGATAGTTTATAGCTATCAATAAAAATAATAGCAACTTGTGACACAGTCAGTTTATTAAAATTGTACACTTAGTACAAATGACCATATGAGAGATAGCCAAGGAGTTGTCTGACGCTTTCTATCAATGGTACCATGATATTACGATAATAGTCAAGTCTATTGACAAAAATACTACTTGTATTCAGATAATTGTGTATATTTTCTGAGAGTAATAAAATTCATTGGCAACTGAAGCAAGCAACAAGGATCGAATATCCATTATGCCTAGCTAGAGTATTCTACTACCTACCAGTATATTTGTATATTAATTTATGTTAAGCATATTGTTATTACGGTATGTGTAGCATATTGTTATGTCTGAAAATAGCAATAAGTTAGGATAGATGACCACCACTGCCAGGCGCGCAGCCACGATTTTCAAAATCGGAAATTCCCATTGCCGCCTGTAACAGCCACCACGATTCCTCGCTCGTTCCGTCTTTTCAGCGTATAATGATCATCTTGTCACGTAAAATATTCAATCCATGACAACTACGAGATTCTAAAATATCTTTATATATTAATTTTACGAGTCCAACGTAACTCGTGGTTGCTTCTTCATACGTCAAAATAAAAACATTGCTATTCGGTCCACGGCGATCTATGGTCTAAAAGTACGAGATAAACTGCCTGATGTATTTAATTTTAATACGTATTTTTGCAATCTTGCCAACTCGTTATCGCCTTAGAAAAATCTCAATAACTGATATTAAATTCAGTAAAGTACAACTTCATTTCATACAATAAATATACATATAAGGTTAAATACGAATATATATATTTTTTGTTGTGCAAAGTGATGAATTCGTGACCGATATGAGCATATTTAAAATGTCTTTCTTTATTAATTTAATTGTTTTTCAATTTAACCTGCGGTTGCGTCGACAAAATAAAACCCTCTCCACTCTAATATACCATGGCATTCGCGGACATAAAAATAAAAATGTGTGGTAAGCTGCCCGATTATATATTGTTTTGATCCGTATTTTGCGAATTCGGCAAATTTGAGATGTGTAACACTGACTCCGCTCAATCGAAATGCCGCCACTCCGATTATTTTTAAGAGAGTAAAATTTATTTCAGCATAATAAAAAATGATTGAATATACTTTAGATTAATTATATTATATACGTTCTCACAACCCCGGAAAAAAGTCGCGTTTCAAACCTTGTATCATGTTAACACAAAAATTTTTCGACGGCAATTTAATTAAAGTAATAAATAATCAGGCAAATCCCGCCCTCAATTAGTGACGATATGTTTCTAAAAGCGGACCAAACATAATGTGTGTCAGAGGCACACAAATTTTGCGATTTTCACTGCCGCATTTTAAACTGTCGCGGGCCTCAATAAAAGCTATTTTGTTTACGGTTTTATTTTCAGTATTTTAAATTGCCGCTTTTCAATCAAAAATTGTCGTTGTCTTTAGAAACTCGCCGCCGATGAACATATTTACCGGATTCACAATTCCGTGCCAAAATGAAATAATTGTCATCGATATCTCGGAACAAAATTTGTGGAAAATTTGCGTTTTAGAGAAAATAACACAAAGGAAAGGCGTTTACGCGTCCCGCAAATGAAACAATCGCGGGCAAGTTTCTATCGAGAATGTTTTCATTCAACGGAAACGTCTTGACAGGGGCGTCGAAAATGTGTGACGTCACACAAATATCCGATATGGCTTATGAACGCTAATTCCGATATTCGAATACTTTATACGAATTGGCCATCCCTGCCAAGAAGTTACAATCAGGCATGACCAACCAAAACAATTTTTTGTCATTTTGGCTTGCATTGGAGACCTTAGGAATTAGCCTCAGGGGCATGTGATTGATAATCTAGAGCAGTGGTTCCCAAACTTTTTAGAGTTGCGACCCACTATTTATTACCACAGCTTATGGTGACCCATTTAAATTTTTTATGACATAACACAGAACACAGCAATGGCTAATCATCGTAAAACTACCGTGTTTCCTCGAAAATAAGACCTGGCCTGAAAATAAGACCTAATTTGAATTTTAAAAATGATTTTAATTAAACCCTACCCTTAAAATGAATTTAAAATGTGTGGAAGAAGAAAGGTTCAATGACCTGAGGTAAGGTGAAGATCGCACCACTATTCAAAATTGTGTGATGTCACAATCACAATTATGATATTTGTCACTTGATTTTTGTATAGGTAATACAGGAGGTAATATAGGAGTTCAAATAAAAACTATGGCTGTCGGTTTTTATATCATGTTTGGAAATCTCGTGATTTTCTACAACATAATTCTATTTTTGATAAATGAACTCAAAAGACCTCTTCCAAAAAAAAAAACATAGTGTTATTCTTCAAAAGAAAATAAATCTAAATCCTGTCTAAATTTCGGGGAAACACGGTAAGAAGTGCTGTACAGTGTACAAAACTGCTATGCGTAAAAACCCCACTGTCATTCTTTGTGTAGCAAATTTTTGTTCCTTCGAGAAGATCGTAAAAAGGAAACTTTGACAGATTAGAATACAAATTTATTTTTGTTTTTTCGAAGATTTACGTATTCGAGTCGCCACCGATCCTAAAAACCAGTATAATTAATCAAAGCTTTCTACATCTTTTCACGACCCACTAAGATTTCTTTTGCGACCCACCTATGGGTCGCGACCCATAGTTTGGGAATCGCTGATCTAGAGTCATCAACCACATGACACAGGGTATCAAATTATTGATGGGCCGATCCAAAAGGGTTTTAACGATGATCGGTGTAGGTGAATTCTCGCGCAAGTCACGATTGATTTAGAGACGATCGCGACGGATTATCAAGCAAAACGGTGCGGGTCACGTGGTATTCGATATTCGAATAGTAAAATGCCATTCGAATAATTTAATATTCGATTCGCTATTCGAATATTTTGCCTAGCCCTACGTGTGACTAGGGATGTCCTCATTCTTTTCATTTAGCATAGTATTCGAATAGTTCAATCCGATTTCGGTTAATCATAATTTAGAAAGTGTGCAAAACTTTTGATGGCGGCTGTTCGATTTCTTTTGTCAGGGGGAGTAGTTCAAAATCGGTATCAGAAATTGCCATGCAATGGCTTCTGTAACAGTCACCGCGAACAAGCCACTTTTGAAAACAGCCAACTTTTTCAGTGGATAATGATTTGCAAGATATTCAATTTGTGACTAATATGAGCATTTAAAATGTCGTTCCATATCAATTGTGTTCAATGTAACTAACAGTGTTTGTGTCGACTTACAAAAAAATAAAAGCACCTCTACTTTAAAATATCACAGCAATCTGCACATAAGAAATGCTGCAGTAAACTGATCTAGTTTTGAATCATATTTTTGCGATCATGCATAGTCGATACTCTCTTATTTCAAGCTGTCTCTGCAGGAAAAATCCCAAGATTGATGATTAAACTAGGAGTAAAATTGATTTTAGTGCAATAAAATATTGATACTTCTTTGTTCTAAATTTGTATTTTGTTTGATTGTAAATTATGCTGGCATGCTTAGGGGGCAGTTCTATTGTCATTTTGAGAATAATTTCTTGTAAAATTCTCAAATTACAGAATTACGATCAGACTAAGTTCAAAGGAAACATGACACAGATATGAGGCAAACTGATGATAGCTTTTATCAAAAATCAGTAGAGGATTAGAGTCGCAAACATAGTTCATCTTCAAGTTAATCAGGATCTGATAGCAGGTTTGTATGAAATTGTTGTTTGTTGAATTGTACCTCAATGATTATTTTAATTTCTAGAGCTTTTTAATTTTGTTACAGTAACCAAACTGGCCCGAAATATCTGGCGATCATCTCAAGCAGCTACAGCACCTTGCATCTTCAACGATGCCGACCCGCTTTGACAAACTTATAGAAATCAAAGCCAAATTAAATGGCTATTAGTCTAGGGTGGGAGAAATGAAATATTTTTTTTTAAAATTGAATGATTTGAATATTTTTAACGAATACCGAAGAGTAGAATAATGAATACTTTTTATACATAACAGGGATCCTGAACGTCGGAGGTCGATACTACATTTGGAAATTAATAGAAACATTGAAAAGTCGGCAATAAAGCGTTTTTTACTGGTTAATGGTTAATTTCATCATAATCGCTGATTGTCTTTGTCATCGCGATCGTTTCGGCGGCGATATCCTGAAGTTGGTATTCTGCATTCCCGCCCTTTTTCGTTTTTTGTAAGAATAAGGGGTCGCCGGATATCGAAGTTTCATATTTCTAGTATACCCTTGCGTTCACATCAGCGACAGCTGTTGAATACATTTAGGGCTGATTTCAAAACCAAATTAATTTTATTCTGAGTTCTATCCTCTGCCTTGGATTTGGTCTTCCTTATCACCGTTTATAAATTAACCGTACCTGTTTAAAGTGAACGGTAATCGAGATGCATGATTAAAATGACAATTGAGTTTCTCATGCTTTTCTATGGTGTTCTGTTATTTTAGTATTAGATAGATAAACCTAGCAAATTTACGATTACGTGAATCCTGAATGTTGATTAAAAATAGCGATTAAATAAATTGGCAATATACGCATTTCTGGGCCTTTGTGCCTGATAGAGGGTCAGACGCTAATTATAACTAATTCCTTCCTTTTTTTTCAACAAAACAACACCCCGATGGTTATTATAGCTAAATTACATACTGAGTAATGCTCAATTTTCTTTACGGAATTTGCAAATTCATCGCTTCACTTGATGATTTTGATTATGTCATGCCTCAAGGCTTAATTATTACTGCCAAAATGCTTCAAAATTTAACAATTGTTATCATTTTCGATGATAATAGACGCAGCAATTTGTGAACGGGTCAGTGTGCATTGTTACAATGAAATTCACGATTGATTTTACATTCTTCTCTTGGATCAACGGCCATGCATGGTCGAGTAAAATGTTCACATATTCGAAACATTACTTGGCCAAGGCTGGAAGGGATCACTAAAGAGCTAATACAAAGTGCTTTGAAGGTAGAAGGAAAGGTTTTGGAAAAACTTTGGTTATTTTTAAATCCATTCTATTTATATAACTAGAGTTTTCTAACGACCTAAAATTGCCTTTTTTACAATGAAACGCCGAAAAGTCATTTTAACATTTAATTTTAATCAACTTTATGTTCGGTAATGCAAGAAATGGCTAATGACATGTCACCAAGCATGCGGAGTTCAAAATTTCGGAAATTTATTTTAAATACCTAATCTGGTTTGACGTTTCTAAATTTACGGAACGGTCGGTACGTTTTTTTTGCAAAATATGGATTTTTAAACGATACGTTAGTTAAGTGTAAAGATAAGCACATAACGCAAAGACAACGACTTTTCAAACTTGTCTTTTTTTCTGATAGAGAACGCACAAATCTCGCACAATTCACGATTGAGTTGGAGACGGGCGAGTTCGGTGTCCAAGCAGAGCGGCGCAGGTCACATGGTACCGGATATTCGAATAGTAAAATGCCATTCGAATATTTTATTATTCAAATATTTTGCCCAGCCCTGGTTGTTACGTGTGTTGTTGTTACGAAGACTTGGTATTTTAAATACGCCATTCGAATATTTTATCATTCGATTCCTTATTCGAATACTTTACCCAGCCTTAGTTGTAACGTGTGTTGTTGTTACGATGACTTGGTATTTTAAATACGCTCTTAATAAAGTTTGTTGCCATTTTACCTTGCGTTGTTTGTGTGCGGCTCTTCATAACTTTGAGGTTTGAAATGCGGCTCTGGGAATAAAAAAGTTTGAGAACCACTGGCATTGACGTTTATAGATACAATCTTGAAATTCCATGATTTTAACAAATCTCATTCCCAACATCTTGGTTAGGAAAGGGGTCCAAATTTTGGGATCCGAGCCCCAGTTGGAATAGCTAATGAAACTTTTAAAATATTCTGCCGATAAATACAAATATCTGACAATGGCTTAGTGTAATGGTTACACTTTTTTTTTCGCAACCCCAATTTTCATAAAATCAAAGCTTACAGATACTCGCGACCCCACTAGAAACGTTGAGCAACTTCCAAAAACAGTAAGTTTATCAGTTCAATTATCTCAATGTGAGCAATTTATCACCTGTATATCGACTGTAAGTGGACGTTAAAAACTGAACCAGAAAATCAAACGAGAGGCGAGTCCGGTCATGCGGCGGATAAACGGAAAGCCTCGAAAGATTTGATAACACATAGCATTGTGTGAAAACTACAGTGCAAAAATCTCTCAGGTCGGAATTATAACGGTTCTTCGATTTTTCAACTGATCGAAACCTAAAGTGTAATTACTCGGCTGGGACGCGCCCGGCAATCAATACTGTACTTGTCAAATGCCTAATTTGAGGACCATTCGCCATATAAACCAATTCTTCTTGGTATATTTGATAACCACCAAGCGGATACACTGATGCAAAATAATAAACCAACTTGATTTCTCGAAGCCTGACCAAAAGTCCGATTCGCGTACCAGCGGGCCAACTACTCATTCGAATGCTATATGATCAAAAATGCTATAAACAAGGAAATATTATTGGCGCTTGTAACACTATCACTCAATTACATTTACTAATAACGGTACCTGTCGACCAGGTAAGGTTAAAGTACCACGTGACAGTTTTTTCAAGCAATTTTGGCGCCGTTTGGACAAAAAGAGTTAGTCAGTCACTTTTACGATACATGCCGACCAGCACAAACTTCAATATTCCAACTTTCAAATCCTATTCGCTCATGTTTGACAGATATTAGGCGATGGGGTCGCGACCCAAAGTTTGGGAACCACCAGCTTAGTGTATGCTAAAATTGTTTTGCGGGCCGCACGCAATGTGTCCCCGGGACGCATGTGGCCCGCCTACCCGCTTTTAGACCACCCTCGACTGACCTGTTCGAAAGTTTTTTGTTGCTTGCAATTAAATATGATCAACTTTTATTTTTTGTTTATATTCTTTCGCATACTATAAAGATATTCTTCTTATGGTAGATATAAATTATATACAGTTATCAAGCAAGATCAACAGACGTCTTCAACTGAAGTGAGGAAAATTGAACTGGATTTTTACCTTTTACAAGGGTAATTTTTCCTTTTATGTTTTTGATTTTTTTTTGTTACAAAAAATTGGCAGTCCAGAATATTGTAAAGAGTAGTATGATATAATTCAGATGATATTTTATCTTGGGGAAATGTTATTAAAGTTTGTTTTTTAACCTACTTAAAACAGGGGTCGGCAAAATGCGGCCTAAATTGTTGCGGCCCTTGAACCACCCGACATTCAATACATAAAACAAAAGTTCATCCTGAATTTATTATTGTCTCTACACGGACTTATGTAGTAACAAGTGCTGCTGTACGGTGCTTGTTTTGTAATAAGTAGCGTCAATTGTATGTATTTCGAGTACATTTTGATTTTTAAAATATAAAAATGCCCGCGAGCTTCGTTGTTGCGGCTTTCAAACAACCCGACATTTAATGCATAAAACAATAGTTTATCCTAAATTTATTATTGTCTCTACACAGACTTATGTGGTAACGAGTGCTGCTGTACGGCGCTTGTTTTGGATAAGTAGAGTCAGTTGTATGTATTGTTCGCGACGAGGTTCGAACATTCCAAAGTGCCTGGACAGAAAAAAATATTTCTTTCTTGCTCATTTCAAAAGCAGTTTGCTCGATATGCCCAGTCAGCATCTCAGATATTAAGGGATTTAATGTTAAACTCGTTCCGAAGCGTGTCATCGAAATTGGACCCCGAGACCCTGGGGCTGAGCCACAGCTCATCTGTGCGCCAGTACAAAACGTGTAATCTGCACGTTTGGAAGCTCATATTGCTGTGAGCAGCTTTATATAAAATGCAATACACTCGGAATAAATATGCCCACGCCCAGTCAGCATAGCAGACTTTTGCCATAAAAACATTCTTTACATTGATAATAAGTGAATAAAAACAATGTATTGTTGGCATAATATATTAAAAAACGACATACGCATTCATTGTGGCAGGGCTTTAAACGCAGCAATAGAATGTGCGAATGCATCGAAATTTATGTGGCGATTGCTCTAAGGCGGATTAATTGCGGCCCGCTCTACCAAAAAAGCTGATATTTGGCCCGCAAGTACATAAAGTTTGCCGACCACTGACTTAAAACAATGACATACCAAATTATCTTAGTGTGCTATCTCCGAACACACGCACACTTGCGTTTCCTTGATAATCACACACAATATAATGGACATGGTGCATGGTAATCTAGACACATATTATATTCTAGGTCAGCAGTTCCCGAACTATGGGTCGCGACCCACTGGTGGATCGCAAAAGGAATCTTAGTGGGTCGTGAAAAGATGTAAAGAGCTTTGATTAATTATACTTTTTATTAGGATCGGTGGCGACTCGAATATGTAAATCTCCCAAAAAACAGAAGAAATTAAATTGAATTTAAATTCTGATCTGTGAAAGTTTCCTTTTAACGATATTCTCAAAGGAACAAAAATTTTCTACACAAAGAAAGACCATATGGCTTTTTTACGCATAGCAGTTTCGTACACTGTACTTCCGCCTCATATTGCGACATCTTGGCGCCGAGTAATTACCCTTTATGCTTTTTCGGCTCCGATTGATCATGAAAGCGCTCCGTCAAATCTCGCAAGATTCAGGAACCTAAAAATCTCTGTTCTGCATGCCTTCCTTGTTTAATATGACCATCCATATAAAACGTTTTGCATATCTCTTTGTTTGAACCAGAAAACAGCCAAGAACAGTATGATATTCCACTAAGATATGAACTTGTTGCTACTCTGCAGGTGTTCACGAGCCGCTCAAATAATCAAGGGTCACTGAGATCTTTTCGAATATTTTGAGCAGGCAAAGTAGGATTTTGACAATGACTTTGTCGAGGGATTAATTAACCAGTTACTTAAGGGTCATTCGAAATAACATTTTTATCAAAGAAATCGGCTGTACGTCGCTCGCTGCAGAGCTACATGCTGCAGAAACCTATTTGCAATCCTATATTGGAAACGAAACAGCAGCAGAATTCTAACTAGACCTACTTGTGTTTGTACATGATTTGACATGTACTTGTTTTTTATGTACAGTACATGTTTTATGTGTGCTTTCTCACGCAAAATGGCTGCCCATCACTGCATTTCATTATGCAAATATATGGTATTATTCTATGTTTCACTCATTTCAATTTTTGGCCGGCACATTATTTGATAGTGTTTCTTCATGTGAAATGTTTTCAAGTGTACCTTTTGTTTGTCTAAATTCTATAAGCAATATTGAGGTCTCGACATTGCATTATAAAACGCAAATATATGTTATTATTTTTTGTTACGGTCATTTCAATTTTTTTGCTGGTCCCCCAGTACATTTAATTAATTTCACAGGTCCGCCAGGGTAGAAAGGTTGGGAACAACTGTTCTAGATCAGTGGTTCTAAACCTCTTTTCAGTTCACGGACCGGTAAAATTTCAAAACAAATTTTGCGGGCTGGTGGACCTTCAATTAGAACAAAAGTAGGTGGTGCAGAAGAAGACATTCCAATTTAATGAGGAATTTGTTGCTGTCTTTTAATATTATACGTGTTAAACGCGGTTCTAATGGAGTTTCGGCAAAGCGAAGTAGAGCGTAGACTTCCACACATTTCAGTTAGCTTTGCGGGTTTCATTGCGTCGTTTGAAAGAATTTTGGCGCAGACTAGGCACATGGGAAGCGGTACTTTTTTGCTGCTAGGAGCAATAGTGAAACCTAGCTCCAAATACTTCTTATCATACTGTCTAATAAAGTCGCCCTTTTGTTTTTTGGTTGTTTCTGTGTGATTTATATCAACATTGCTGCAAGGTAGTTTCGGGGCATGTTGTAGAGTTGAGGTAGCAGTCTCTTCCTCTGTCCTGTCAACACCACTAACTTGGTTTTCACCGCTGGGTTTCTTTTGAACGGGATAATACTTTGGTGTTTGTTTGCCTTCTTATTACTATCAGACCTTGCTGAATTATAGGCCTACTGTCAAATTACGGAACGTGCGCATCGCGAAATTCTCAATCAGGTACCGTACTATGTGCTATGAAACTCCTCCGTTATGACGTTGGCCACCGTTATGAGGTCATAGACTTAACCAACACCCAGCCATTCAGGGCCCAAATGGACAGAGGGCCTCATCAAGTTTGGTTGTTGGACGAATCCAGGTACTACGAAACAATAAAAAGGTAAAAAATCACAAAGTTAATAAACATGCCGTCAATACTTTTTATTTTGCAATTTGCTTAAGATATATTAATATTGGATAATAATTGGCGGACGGCGGTCGAGAACCACTGTTCTAGATTAACGGTGGGGGAATGGAGCCAATTTAAGAAAACCTTTTAGGCATTTTTGCGTAGTTAATACTGCTATCAAGATACTATAACCTAATAATTTTTTATTGATTAGTGAGTTTCTGGTTATAGACAATTATTACTGGTTTGCAACAAATTTTAATTTCTAAAGCAGCGGTTCCCGAAGGGGGCGCGATGGCTCACTAGCTTTCATTAGTATTTCAAAGGAAAATCAGGCAGAGATGTAGAATACTGCAGAGATCTGGGATAACAGTTTATATTGCCTTCAATCTTTAGGCCTACATATTTACAAACTATTTAACACAGTGTTTCCCAACTGTTTTTTTCTGACTGGTACGTCAATTAAAACCTCACGGGCCGACATCAAGATTCAAATGACTGACACAGGGCAAGAAATTAAAATCATGAATGAGGTCTCATTTTATTAGGTGAGATGATGCCACCTGAATTTACCCGAACCACACATCTCGGCGCACATAAAGAAAGCTAATGTTGTGCTGGGAAAGACAGCAATTAGTAGGTATAGGCCTCAAATAATTGGTGAAATGGAAAAGTTGCTTTTCTATATTATAAATATTGTTTTTATGTACACATTTTATTATTATTTTGCGTATTTTGGAATGTTTTACATATTTATCCCAGGAGAATGGAAAGCCGATAATATGGCTTGGCGAACCACGGCCTTTCGTCCGGTTACCAGTCCATGTCGGGTATGGGATTAGTTGGCCATTTTTTTGTCTTTGGAAGCATGGACTTGATGGTAGAGGAAGCCGTAACCGACCAGTGGCTACGTGAACCACCCTACGGCGGCGAGTAGCCCAGCAAACCTCTCGCACATGACCATCCCCGCATGGGATTCGAAGCTGCGAACCCACTCAGAGTAATCAGAGGTGCGGTGGCGAGCGTATTCCTAACGCTTAGCACGATGAGCCACACTGCCGCGACTTACTTGACTTGTATCGTTTAATTAAACTAATTGAACAAACTTTGCTGCTAATGCTATATTATTCTCGAAGAATTGATGTGCCCGTAACGACAGGCAAAACAGTTTATCGCTTTCAATAACGATTCGAGGTCGTGGGCGAGAACGCCGCTACCCTTGCCCTATATCGCCTAGGACAATTCAGTAAGTAGAGTTGTTTCTAAGTCAACGAACTCGTCTCGAAAATTCTTCTCCGATACCAATATGACGTGCCGAAATTGCGAACTGTTTTGCTTCGAACATTAGAGATAACTTAATTATTAATGTATCGGAATACACCTCATTTCCTGTAACAATTACAACACTCCACATTCTTTCGTACAAAGATGTAAGCCTATATTACAAACTTGCTGTAATGCGTCATTTGAATTTCTTTAACCAGATTCAGATCGAAAAATTCAACGTTGTCGAAGTAAAATATAAATGAAATAGAATTGAACGAATATTTTAATCTCTTGAATTCTTGCACAGGTTTGAATTTGATTACACAGGAACAATCAAATGATTAACTGGATAAATATAACTGTAATAGTTTTATTGAAGGGCACGCCAAAGCTTGTGGAAATTTACGTTTCGGCGCAGGTTATATTGTATTCGCAAGAATTAGTTACAAAACGAAAATTGCCACGCCTATCAGTCTGTGTTACTGTTGCATTTCTTTACCATATATAGGGGGAAAATGAAAAAAACACAATTATGACGAGTTCAAAGCACTGCGGAGATTTTAACATTCAAGAAACATCCTTAATTGTCTAATAAAGTTAAAACTACTGTAGACGCCAAATTTGGAGTGCCTTTAGCGCCCATACCAGGTGTAATTCTTAGATGGTCGATCTGATTTTGTCACTCCAATGCAAAAAGACGCGTATAACAGTACAAGTCGTTTATTGTCAGGTAAGTACAGGTGTACGAAGATACGTCGGTACGATGTTAGAAGTACGAGAATACGACAGTACGTGATTACGTCAATACGTGGATACGGTTTTCTAAATAAAACAAACAAACAATATTACCACAAATAATGTGCCCGCAAAACATTAGCTAAACAAAATTGTACACATTAGAACTGAACTTAACAGGTTAACGCAGGTTTACGCCAGTAAAATAACAGTTGCGGCTGATCACAAAAGTGGTCATTATAAAACACGGTTCAACCGAAATATTCCCTAAATATAAAAACAAACTGAAATACGTACTGACAGTGTAGCTTTCAGCTTACAAACAATCGACAGTGGATTGGAACAGTTAATGAAATTAAGTTAATGTTATTAAATCTAAATATATTAAAAATACAATTCAAAACCTTGGGACTACAAATCTGCAACCAGACAACGAAAACCTCGCACCACAAATCTGCAATCCCACAGTCCTGAGAAGGTCGAATCAAGGTCCTGAAGCAACGCGCGCAGCGAACGCGCACGGGGTATTATGATGTACGAAGATACGAAGTACGTGATTACGTCAATACGTGGATACGGTTTTCTAAATAAAACAAACAAACAATAATTACAACAAATAATGTGCCGGCAAGGCATTAACTAAACAAAATTGTACACATTAGAACTGAACTTAACAGGTTAACGCCAGTAAAATAACAGTTGCGGCTGATTACAAAAGTGGTCATTATGAAACACGGTACAACCGAAATATTCCCTAAATATAAAAACAAACTGAAATACGTACTTGACAGTGTAGCTTTCAGCTTACAAACAATCGACAGTTAATGAAATTAAGTTAATGTTATTAAATCTAAATATATTAAAAATACAATTTAAACCTTGGGACTACAAATCTGCAACCAGACAACGAAAACCTCGCACCACAAATCTGCAATCCCACAGTCCTGAGAAGGTCGAATCAAGGTCCTGAAGCAGCGCGCGCAGCGAACGCGCACGGGGTATTATGATGTCACAATCACTAAAAAATGTGAACGTATGTATCACCAGCGTCTCCAGTGGTAAACAACAAAAAATATAATGAAGCGAATGAGGCAGTTTCATCCCGGCCCCTTAGAAACTGAGAATTTGCCATCCAAAAATTTGAAATTTCTACACACTCAAAAACAAAATCACAAAATTTGAAAACGAAATTGATCTCACATACACACAACTCAACTAGAGTCAAACGAAATGGGTTTCGCACACAACCAGGGTTGTCCAAAACGAATCGAATATTCGAAATTATTCGAATATCAAAGTATTAGAATACGTTTTCGGCTCATTTCCGAATAATTACGAAAAGTAGTCACTTTTCGCCGTAAACACGGTGTTTCGTTTTACCGGAATCTTCAAACGACTTTTTACGCTTTCTCACGTATTGTAATGACGATGAAATAGAGTCGGCATTTTGATTGTTTATATTCTGTGTGACCGTACGTCGCATAGTGTTGCGACACATTTGCACGTTTGCGTTGGTGGACATTGCCGACATTCGTCTTTTAATTCACAAAATCATTTCCATTAGTCGAAAAATCGACAATCCCCGTATTTCCCGGGCTAATAAGTCGCTTTTCTAGACCCAATTTTGGCTTGATTTTTGGGGGGAGGGGCGCCTTATAGAGAAAGCATGTTTATTTTATTTCTATGTGGCCTGCTTATTTTTCGCATTAGTCTTCTCAAGCATAATTTGTGTTAACCTTATATTTGGTTCTTATGGGTCTGCCAATCATGATATTTAATCGTAGGCCGGTTATCGTTACTTAAAAGAGAAAACACGGCCACCGCCACCGAGATAAAGTAAGTGATTTATTACCCTTTGGTTTTGCCGATTCAGCAGAAAACGACAGGGACATGAAACACAGCTGTGAAATAACCCGTGGACGTACCGTGTGGTACTTATCACATTTCAAAATTATTTCAACATTCGGGTTGATAGGTTGTCCAAAATGATTGCCGCTTTATAATTTAAATATACCGCTTCGTTGTTGAGAATAGTTAATTCCGTGAGTATGGTTCTACCAAACAAACATGATCTGGTTTTGTTCTGACCCTATAAAATTATAGATTGTTCAAAATGATTGTGATTTTTAACTTAAAATTACCGCTTTATTGTTAAAAATAGTTAATTCTGTGAGTATGATTCTACTAAACAAACGTGATCTGGTTCTAAACATTATTATTAGCGCATATTAGCATAACTGAACAACAGGGAACAATTTTTCTACCCGTCTTCTTGGAGGCCTATATGGAAAACCCCCTTTTTTTGAGTGCTAAAAATATACATCGTCCTATTTGCCATGTAGACTTATTTGCCGGGAAATACGGTATCTATAGCCGTAATTGTTACGATATCAATAAATTGTCACAAGTTGGGAAACAAGTTGATTTATTGGAAAAATACTCTCACCCGCTTTCTGGCAAATAATTTTGATAATGATGGTCAAAAGTATCGATAATGAAAGTATTAAGACCAAATACCACGGGTATTTGTGGGCATGAAATGTGTGGTAAACTGCCCAATTATAATTAATTTCGGATTCGTATTTACAAAATATTAAAACTATTATAACTCAAAAATACAACGGCGATTTGTGGACTTGAATGTGTAATAAAGTATAAATTAATTTTCCGACTTGTGACAATTTTTTCGTGAGTACGAAAATAAGAATCAAAAATTAATTATATTCGGGCACAATATCACGGCATTCTGTGGACATAAATTGTGAGGCAAACTCGCGATTGATATTAATTTTTGATTTCTATTTTCGTATTTACAAAATACAACGGTGATCTGTGGACATTGAATGTGTGGTAAACTACCCGATTATAAATAGTTTTTGAACCCTATTTTCGTATTTATAAAATAATAAAATTATTATTACACAAACATACAACGGCGATCTGCGGACTTAAAATGTGTGGTAAAGTTCCCGAATATAATTACTTTTTGATTCGTATTTTTGTACTCACGAAAAAATTGTCACAAGTCTGAAAAAGAACTCATACTTTATCCCGCTTTTTGACAAATAATTTGGATAACGGTTGGTATTTAAAAGTATGGGCGTTTTACTAGGATGATTTTGTGTTGCGCACGCATTCAAATTTATCACCGATACCACTATTTAAAATGCCTTGTCGTATTATTTTAATTCTGTTAATTAACACAACTCATGTTATATAAAATATATATCGCAATAATCTGCAAACATGAAATGCCTGGTAATATAGCCAGGTTGTAGATAGAAGTTATTCCATTGTTTAGTGTATGAAAATTCCTTCATACACTTAGATTCTATTACTGGATTTTATTTTCGAAGTATTCGAAATTTCATATTCGAAAAAAATAATTTCGAATGTATTCGAAATAGTGAACTATTCGGTATTGGCCATCCCTGCACACAACTCAATCAGAGTCACTTGCACACAGAAGAATTAATTTAGTTATGGGCCTATCTAAGATTGAATGGTTGGTTTGCACCGTAGCAGAACGTACACGGCCTTTGTTGTCGGAAATCGTTCCAATGCTACCCAACAACCATGCATTTCTTGGCAAATTTTCATCCATCACAAATACAACATCATTCTTAGCTAAATTCCTTTGAACTTTGTTCCATTTTTGTCTTGTTCGAAGCAGAGGAAGGTATTCTCGTCTCCATCTTTTCCAAAACACATCAGCTAAGTATTATACTTGTTTCCATCTCTTACGAACATACAAGTCTTTAGCATCAAATACCCCTGTTGGAAGTATCGGTTCTTCTTTCAACAACAACAAATTGTTTGGGCTCAAGGGTGTCAAATCTTTTGGATCATTGGATACGGTTGCTATTGGTCTTCCATTCACTATGGATTCACATTCACACATAAGTGTAATTAAACTTTCATCAGTTAATTTTTGTTCTCTGCAAATAGCATTGAATACTTTCCTAATTGTTCTAATTTGTCTTTCAAATACCCCGCCATGATGAGAAGCAGCCGGAGTTTGAAACAGCCACTTGATGTTCTTTTGCAGCAAAAATCTATGTATTTGATTTTGATTCCAAGACTTGATAGCATTTCTCAATTCTTGTTCTCCAGAGACAAAATTTGTTCCATTATCTGATCTTATTTCAACTACTTGTCCTCTTCTTGAAATGAATCTTCTGAGTGACATTATAAATGCACATGTATCTAAGCTATGCGCAATCTCAACATGTACAGCACGAGTCCCTAGGCAAGTGAAAATAACACCATATCTTTTTACTTCGCTTCGTCCTTGACGAACAAGAAATGGACCGAAACAGTCAAGAGCGACAAAAGAGAAAGGTGGCTTGTTTGGTATTAATCGATCTTCTGGGAGGTCGGCCATCAATTGAGATTCAGGTGCTCGCTGTCTCTTGCGACAAGATATACAGTTGTTAAGAATATTTCGTGTCATGGCATTTGCTTTTATAATCCAGAACTTTTGAACATATCCAGAACATACTCTCTTCCACTATGGCCTGTAACTTGAAGGAAATGTTTAATTATTAAATTAGCAATAGTACTCTTGTTTGGAATTATAATGGGATGTTTTGTGTCATATTCAAGACTTGATGCTCCAATTCTTCCATCTACACGGAGAAGACCTTCTTTTATAATAGGCTGCAATTTACACAATGGACTTGATTTTGGCAATTGTTCACCTTTGGCCAATACATTAATTTCCTTTGAATAATGTTTCAATTGTTCTTTTTTTGATTATTTCGAATTCTGCCAAGTTCACCTCCTCAACAGATAAAAATCTAATATTTCCACTCCCCAAGTTGCAAGAAACATCCTCTCTGACTTTGGAAAGCAGTGCACGCTTGTAACGTAAAACCCATGCTACAATCTTCTTCATTTTAAACCAATTTGAATATTTTGAAGTAACTTGGTCTAATACAGTAGGTATATCTGTATTCAGAGCAAAACACATCTGTAAATGTGGACTCTGCTTTTTAAATTCCAAATCTTTATCATCTATTGAATGCAGAAAATCTGGTTGTTCAGGCCATTCTTCCTGGCTTTTCCATAAAAAATCTGGTCCAAATTTCCATCGTGGGTAGTTTAAAAAATCATCAGCAGACATACCTCTGGAAGCAACATCTGCAGGGTTTAATTTGGAAGGTACATAGTACCATCGATTCACATCAGAAACTTCTTTAATTACATTCACTCTGTTTGCAACAAAAGTTTTCAGGACAAATATGCCAAATATCGTAATACGGTGGTGCTATCCGTCCAAAATATAGATGCATCAATTGGGAGCTTGAGTTCTTTACGAAAGAATTTTTCATTTCGTGCAGATATTGTTGCTGCACATAACTCCAACCTGGGAATCGTTGAGCCTCTGAGAGGTACCAATCGACTTTTACCACACAAAATTGAGCAATGAATTTGTCCAGAAGAATTTGTTAAACGTATATATGAAACAGCACCATAAGACTTTTCAGATGCATCAGAAAAGTGATGAATCTGTATTTCTTTGGTTTCGCCGAAATTAGGAGGTAAAAAACATCTTGGAATATTGAAATCTTTCAACTTGGATAATTCAGATATCCATTTTAGCCATTCCTGTACACATTCTGAAGAAATTGGATCATTCCATCCTAGCTTCTTCCTGCACAATCCTTGCATAAGGACCTTCATAGGTTGAATGACCGGCTGGCCAATGCCAAGACGGTCAAATATTGAGTTCACAACACCCAACATACCCCGTCGGGTAGCTGGTCGTTCAGTGTATTAGTACTGAAACTTAATGTATCTTCATTTGCGTTCCATATCATGACAAGTGCTCGCTCAACAGGCAATTCATCTATAGAGATATCCAAACGTTTTGCTTCCTTTGATCGGTGAGCTTCTGGAATTGAGGCCAATACTTCACGGTCATTGCACACCCATTTCGTCACTTCAAAACCACCTCTAGCAGCAATTTCAGTTACACTCTTTATATGTTGGAGGGCACTAGCAGCATCCGGTTTGGAATCACAAAAATCATCAACATAAAATGAATCATTAGTTGCATCAATCACGCGTTGTTCAAAATCATCTTTGTTATCTATTGCAGTTTTCCTCAAAGCGTAGTTGCAACAACTTGGAGAGCACACAGTTCCAAAGAGAAAAACCGACATTCTATAAATTTTCATGGGTAAAGTGATGTCACCATTTTTCCACCAGAAGA